TTATGGTATTACATAATCAAAATTAATCACAAAATTAAGAATTTATATTACTTCCTCTCAACCATTCATATCATTTCCAAGATCAATATCAATATCTATATTTCAACTTGTATTATTATTATCATACAAAATGGGTAACATATGTTTCTCTTCACCATTTCAATACAAAATAGGTAAATTTGGACAGGTTTTAATGAACCGAGTTGGGTAACCCGGTTCCGATCTAATTTTTTTTGGGCATTTAGTCCAAATTAATAAAGTCGTATAGATTTATATCAATATTTTTAAGGATATAAACGGATACGTATTATATCGTAGGATATATATTAATGTATCAAAAGATTTATAATATACTTTTTAATATGTATCATTATCTACTTGTATCGAATTGTATCATATAATATATATCAAAGTATCATGAGATTGAGAAAACTACTCAATAAAATATATCTTTCCTTTCTTCTCTAGTCTGTGAAAGAAACTAATTGAAAATTAAACAACCAGCCAGGGAGGAAATCTAGAATTAGAATGATGAAATATCTCATTGACTGATTCGGAAAAATAGAATTAAAAAAAAAAAGTAATATATCTAATCTCTGATTTGTTAGTTTCTTGACTTTGGGAACACGTGGGATCCGTTGACTCGTGGAACTACACGCCTCAGAAACAGAGGAAAGCAAAGAAGAGTTTTTTTTTTTTTTTTTTTTTATTGGTGTCGGGGGCCACTCGTGGAAAGGAGAGACGAATGTTTGTTGTGTAGACTGTAGAGTTAGAGAGGAGGGGGTAAAGGGCCACTGGGCCAATGTATTTTAGCAAAAGTCCAAACCCAGTGGTGGTTGTGTAGATGTAACGTTGAAATAAGTGATTTGGATTAAACCATCATATTATATATTTTACGGTTTATGAATTGTGGTTTTTCTTTTAAGTTTTTATGTTTGATTAAACATACATTTTAAAAATTATTTGGCTTGTTAAGTATAAATTTGATAAATTGGGTCATATTTAAGTTGTTAAACTTATATTAAAAAGTAATTTCTGGATTTAATATAATTCTTTTAGAAATTGAACAAAAATAATTATTAGGGTTTTTATTTATACGAACGGATGATTTTTTATTATTTTGCCAAAAATCTAGAAGTCGACTGTAATAACATTTAGACAATATGAAGATGAAGGTAGAAAAAAAATCATATCATAAAGGATTAGAGTGAAAAGTCAACGTTTTGAAGACATCAAAATGCTAAACAAACTTACTAAAGTGAAGATAATAGTTGAAAGGAAGATGGTAGCTACATGACCGAGGCAGGATTCTGAAATGTAAACCACAGCAATTCCCAAACACTTTGAGAGTCCATCCTGAATCCTGAATGTTCACTAGTGCTCATTAAGAGACTAAACTTGACAAAATATCTAGTATAGTTAACAGCATCAATCATCAATTTTGTATGGTAAGCTTAAGAGCATAAATATTTTATGTTGTGTCAATTTACTGATTTTGAAACAAGCAAAAACGGGAAAGACTTAATAAGATTCCCAAATAACTGAATCAATCTACTCATTAAGAGAAACAACAAGAAGCATTGGAATACAAGCTTCAGTCTTGCAAAATCCATTGAGTGGTCTATCTCATCTCAATATTGGCCTTCTAAATTACTTAATAAATAGATATTGAGTACTTTATTAGAAGGCAAATTGAATTATTTATGAAGTCATAGATTAACTACTGTGAATATCAAAATATAATTAAGAACTTCTATTAGACTCAAGTGTTATTTATGCCAAACCTAAGGGATGAACTTGTAACTATCCCATTGAGCTTAAACCTTTCATTTTATAATTGGATTTATATCTCGTTATTATACGTGTCTTTTCAAATATTGACATGTCAATTGGAGTTGTGTAGTATGGTTTCAGTCTGTTTTAAATAATTCTTTTTAGTAGTACTAATCATACACCATTGGCACTAGAGTAATACTACACAAGGTTTTAAACCCAAGTGACCCGGTCAAGTCATTGGGTCGTCAAGTTGGTTAGTTCAACTATCAAGTCAAACCATTATGTCATCATATTGATGTCAACGTGAAAACATCATTTTGACATCAATATGACATATAAAAAAATAATAAAAAAGCGGTTCAACCACTGGGTTGAACTGGTTGGACCGGCGGTTTGTAACAAAAAAAACCGATCCAACCACAGTTCAAACTGGGTTAATTAGTCGAACCGACCCAGCTCAATTACCCGTTCCCTATTCAACCGGTTGAATCGATCGGGCGTCGAGCCAGGTTTTAAAAGCATGATACTACACACACAACCATTTTATATAAACTTTCTCTTACAAACTTATATGGCAAAAGATGATTGGATGATTTTAAATTTAAAATAAACTTTCACTCAATTATTTTTTGTCATATAAGTTTGTGAGATCATGAGAAAGTTTGTATAAAAAGTTGTGGGTATAGTATTCTTGTTTGCACTAAAATGCCTTGTATATTAAGTAATGCAGCGTTACGCTTCAATCAAAAAATCATTTATTGGTAGGATGCCTCTTTTTTTTTTTTTTTTTTTTTTTTTTTAACCAAGATGTCCAGACCAATTTACGTGCACTTCGACTAATCCTCAAAGGAGACTAGCGTAGCAATCCATTGCTAAGGTTCCTCACTTAAATCGTAGATGTTCAAATAGAGAATCAAACCTAAGACCGTACGTCTATTCACACCTCTTAACCCCCCTCATAGATATAGGACAAAACTTGTGTTATATACTATAGTTTTAGCAAGGTGGTTGGTCTCATAATTAGATATACCATTATATTTTAGAAGAAAACATTTTAATAAAAGATGTTAGAAAATTTAAAGGAGTTTCCTCTATTTTTCTAACCTTGTTACTATGTAAATATCAAGCTTCGATTTGGTACGATTTATTCAAATATAGCTTATATGTTTTAATACATAATAATTAATCACGTCGAACTTATAAAATAAAATAATACTTTTTGAGAAAAGATCTTATAAGATTTTAAGATTCTCTCATAAACGACCAAAATAGTTTATTAAAAATTTTATAAGCATATCTGATCAAACATCTTAAATAAGCTCTTTTGATTAATAGATAAATCCAATCAAATAGGTTCTAAAATAAAGACTTATAATAACTTAGTATAACCCAATTCGAAAATAAGACCTCTCGTTCTCATCTCAAATATATCATATCAACAAATTATTTAGAAAATCATATCATAGGGTCTCATATCCACAATAAATATATAATCAACCAATGGCGGACCCGCATGGAAGAGAAAGGTTACTCCAGCCCCGCTAAAATTTGAAACGTCATTTTAGTCCGAAGTATTTTAGTTCTATTACATTTGTGCCCCCTTACGAAATTAATTTCCTCCTATTTTTTCTTTTCGTAGCTCCTTAAGTTTTGTCATCTCAATAGTCAATAGGCACTTAAATATCATGTTATTTTAAAAAAATCAAAGAAAGAAGATGAGATAATGAACTCGAAAGGCTCTTTGTAAAGAAAGAAATCAAGCTTTTGTTTTTGAAGCAATTAACATGTTTTCCAATTCATGACTCAAATTTCCATCACCTACCTTAACACTTTACATCAACAAAGCATCAGAAATCAAAACATAACAAAAATAAATAAAAACAAGAAATTTCGTACAATAGTTTGCTTTCAAATTGAACAATGGAACCGGTGATGGAAGATTGAAAAGTGTACAGCGGAGAGCGAGACGAAGTTACCGCCTTTAAAACCAAAGGTGCCAGTAGCAAAGCTCCAGAGAGAAGGAGAGGCATAGGCCCTACCAACGGAAGATCAAGAAGCCCCAGCTTTGGTGATTCTACCACCGTGCTTTTTTTTCGGGTTTGGGGGGGGGTGTGGGGGACATCAACTTGGGTGATCAAGTAGTACTTCTAATGGCACATCACCGGCGGCAATTGGTGTTGGGTTCGGCCTCACCTCATTCTCTCCCATACGGAGGTGAGTGGCCCAACAAATTAGGCCCAAAACAACTCCATCTTATTTTCATCTTCTTCTTCGTTGTCCAGCAGCCAAAACGTAAGAGAGTGAGTGTTCTCCTCTAGTTGCCATCCTTTCTAGCCAGCCACCATCTAGCTTTGTTCCACCATCGTGTATATGTTTGAGAGTGAGGCAAAAAGAAGGAGAAACGGAGAAGAAATATGAGTTTTTGAGTCTGTGAACAGTGCATCATCAAATCGTGATCTGGAGTTCGTTCGCCGTCCGATCTGGAGTTTGTTTGCCGTCCGATCTTTCTGATTTTTGGACAGGAGGACACATTTCTGTTGTTCAAGCACTATTGGAAGAGCTGCCTGGAAATTTCTGACCAACCTGCCATGTACAGATATCAAACCACTCGATGTTTAAGCAGTCCAAACAAATTAAATATCACCAATACACAATGAATACACAATAAAGCTAAAAACAGTCTGACCTCAACACAGGGAACTTGAGCCGAAATAATGTCTCACAAACTACATACAACAATATTAAAGAGCCCTTATTCAGGAGATTTTATTAAAGTTTGACCTGAATCTTTTTCAAAACTTTGAATATACTGTAAATATAAATCACAAAATGTTAAAAACGGAAATAGTGACTGCAGGGACTATAATTTGATGATAGTTAATCGAAGAAAAAGAAATTTGAAGATAAAAAGAAACTTTTTTCATGATCATGATGTTTTATGGTACTTATATATCAAGGTTGCCTCTGTCGAACTTCACGTCACTATTAAATTAAAAAATTTGCAGCTTTTGTCTACTTAAGAGTTCTTGACCTTTTATGGTAGTGATCTAGCAACAGTGACTATAAGTGTATGTCTTAAAAAATAATTAGAAGCTTTATAATTATTGTAAATGTTTATAATTAATGTGTCAGGATGTGATTAGTTGATGGTTAGTGAAAGTAATTAAAAGTTAAATCTATTTACATTCTAAAAAGCGTTCACCTCAAATTAATCCCCATACGTTTCCTCTTCATCTTCTTTGTTACACGACCCAGCTCTCTAATTTCATTCAACATCACTCAAAACGACCACCACTCACCAACAAATAGCCGCCTTTCCTCTCTGTCTCTCATTTAAGGTAGTGCAGCAGCTGCCACAGGGGCAGTGGCTATTAATCACTCATGGGTTGCTGCCAATCAGGTAATCTCTAATTTAAGGTTCTCGGTGATGGCTTAGAGACCTTTGACCAAATGTTGTCAGTTTCTGTAGACAATTTTTAGTTGATTTAATTGAATTCTTGATACAGGATCTTGCCATGGGATTGTTATTTGTAATAGATATGCAGGCATCATTTTTGAAGAGTCTCTCGCTTTCAATAAAAGTGGAGTTGGATTACTGATGGCTGTGAGTTTATGGGTTGTGCAAAGCATCGGAGTAAGTTTCGTAATTTGTATTGATTACTTGAAATTTTCTAATGAGATAATGTATTATTTAGTTGCTTACTTTAGTTAATATTCTTACCATCAATTAGCTCGATCTGTAATGAAGGCATCATATGTCTGTGAAGGCTTAGCGTGTATCTGTTGTTTGTTTAACATTTTCTGAATTCTATGTCTTGGATATACTTTGATGAATTGAGAGCTTAGTTTTCCCATTCTCTATATCTGATTTTTAGATTCTAATTCAAATTGGTTAGATGGCTTTCTAATCAACAGTTTTGTTTGATAATGGAATCATTGGTTCCATGTTGCTTATAGACAGACGTATTTAATTGTAATTATGGACTGCACAGCTCACCATTTATAGTCTAAAACCAGAAAAGAAAACTTGTGAAGTGGCGTAATTTCCTTATAGCATAATTTTTGTCATATCAGTTTTGCAGATCTATTATCATGGATTTCATGAAGGTCATCGACCAGAGAGTTTGCGAAATGTGAGCTACTTATCTCCTTCTACACTTTATATGATTCAATCAAATTTTTCTTCAGTCAAATCATCTTTTATTTATTTAATTTTTTATTAAATTATTTACAGAAAGAGGGAGGTGAATTTGAAGGTTTTGAAGGCTCCGGAGATCGAACAGAACTGCTGATGCTGATGATGGTGCAGTTGCAGTGAGTGGTGGTGATGATGATGATGATTGATGACGATTGAATTAGGTGAAGTAAGTCCTGAGTCCTGAGTCCTGACCAGATCTTGTGTGTTCTATTTCTTCTCCTTTTTTTATTTTTTTTATTATTATTACCTGACAATTACTTTTTTCACTTCCACGTTTTCAAACACTCCTTCTATGGTGTATGGTGACATGTATGATAAGTAGTGATGATATGATGTTTATCTAAAAGATGAGTAGAAGGTGGTGAATGATGGAAATTGTAAATCGATTGACATGAGTAGGCAGTGGCAAAATCGATAATTATTGGGGTTATTTTATGATTTAAATGGTGTTCATAATTGTTTGCAGATTTTTTAAGAGTGTTAATTGTTTATTTATTACGATACAATGCAATATTTTTGTATTTACTAGTTACCAGAATAATGGGCTAAGGTAGTGGATAGGAGTTTCAGGAGATTCAACAAGTTTTTCATTGAAGTTATTTGATTAGTCTAACACCCTTTCTTCGTTCATAATTGAATAGTAAGAATTTTAAGAGCAATGGCTCTTTTGGAATCAATATGTCAACTTTCATTAATGAAAACTCTCAAAAGGTTTGTGGAGTATGCTTAGATAGAAATTGAGATAAGTTTTGTTTTTACTCTGTAGTAGGATAAAGATTTGTTCAACAATTTATGAAAATGGAGTAGTTTTTATTTGATTATAAAGCTGTGATGTCCCTTGATGATATCAAAGTTTTCCTGCGTCATATTTCATCATGTTTGCCATGTGTATCTACAACCTCTTTTGCTTATGAATTTTAGCAGATATATAGACTCATTTGTGATAATTAATTCCTACGTAGGTAATTGACCCTTCAAACAAAAGAACCCCACTTAAACATATTTCTTCTCTGAGGGATCCATTTGGGTGTTGAATTGTTTTTGTGCCTTAAATTCATATTAACGATGTCGGTAGTTATATACTAGAATCGCATGTTCCATTTGTTGATTAACTCCCAAGTTTTCTTATTCTGCAGATTAAGAGCTTAAGACTGCCGATAAAGTTCGGAAATCATAGAGGTTTTGCATTTGTGGAGTTCGTCACAAAGCAAGAGGCACAAAATGCACCCCAAGCACTTTCAAGCACCCATCTTTATGGGCGGCATCTGGTATGTTATTTACCAATTTCAAAGTGTATTTTGCCACAGACACACACATTATCAGATAACAGCTGACGGTTGCTAAAATTCAGGTACTGGAGAGAGCAAAAGAAGGTGAGAGTTTAGAAGAATTACAGGCTCGAACGGCAGCTCAGTTTACTAATGAGATAAGCTGTTCAAGAAGAGGAAGCACATGGCAATTGTAAGGCTCGAAGAAATAGAGCACAAAGTTGTAAAAAGATTTCTAAAAGGGTAGGCCGAAAATCATGTTTCAATCTTTTTTTTCGAAACAGCACATTTTTATTTTTGGTTATATAAAGATATAAAGAATGGTAGCACATTTTTACTTTTGGTTATATAAGGATATAAAGAATGGTGTTAGTCTCCTTACATTTATCGAAATATAAACCCATAATATTACCAATAAAAAAAAATATATTTAACAATTTTTATGGCTGAATATAATTGGTTTTCGTCATTATCATAAAGTTGTTTACAAACTTTTTCAAAAATATTCAATAAACATATCCGCATCAGGCTTTTCATCTAGTTAATTATAAGAAAAAATGAAGTCCAATCAATTTATTAAATTGAATAATGATATTTTTACAATTTCAACACTTTAAATAAGTTTAAAAATATCTTATAAGATTTTGAGCTTCTCCATAAGTTGTAAAATAGCTTCTTTAAAATTCTATAAACACTTTTGAATTACAACCAAACCAAACAACCTAAAATAATTTCAAAAGTGCTTATGTCTTCAGATAAGCTCTTTTGATCTGCAAATAAGTTCAATCAAGTAGACTCTAGAATAAACACTTCTAATAACTCAATGCAACCCAAACTGGAAACAGAACCTGTCGTCCCTGTATCAAATATATCATATCAACAAATGTACAAAAATCATATCATAGGGTCTCAAACCCACGACAAGAATATAATCCAACTACAAAGTCTCATAAAAATCGTCTACAAACATACATCTAACTGTCCATATAAATATACAAATGGCATGTGATAAAACTATAATCTCTCTCTCTTTTTGTGGTCGGATAACAAGCTCTTTAATCACTGGGGTTAGTTATACCTAAAAGATTGTCTTCAACTCAGAGAAGAGGCAATTATTGCATTTACCAAAAAAAACTATAATAACTATGAATTGGGAAAGATGGAAATCTGAAAACATGTCAAAAGCATGCTGGGAATCTTAATTGGTTAAACTCTTTTGTTGAAGTATGTATCAAATGCGATTCATGTTTGATGGAAACAAAGGTATCTGCAGAATGACTTTGTTGCTACTTTTAACAAACATAACTGTAAAAGGCTCTTTGTAAAAGAAAGAAATCAAGCTTTAGTTTTTGGATTCATGACTCAAATTTCCACCACAAACCATTCATAAATGGGCCCATCCGCATACCATTCCGATTTCCATCAACAAACCATAGAAAAACCCAAAGGGGTTGGCCAGATAGTCAATGAGGTTTGCTCATTTCTTTGAGTTTTTGGATTTAAACCTTGAAACCACCAATCACAATAATATTGTAGTTTACTTAGTCTTTTGGGCTTGTAGGGTGTTCAATGAATCTCAAAGATTAGTTAAGATACGCGTAACTAACCTGAACACCTCGGCTATAAAAAAAAAAAAAAAAAAAACCATCAAAAAACAAAGGGAAGTGATTTTTAGCACTATCTAATTGATCAATATCCTTCATTACTAATACTTAAAAGTTAAAAATTAAAACAAAATTATAAAATAGAAATTATTATATTATTCTAGTAATTTTTATTAAGGTTAAAATTGTCAAAACAAAGAGTATTTAAAAGTAGAGGACACTAGTCAATTTGATGGGGCTAAATACGCTTCCCGAAAACAAAACATAACAAAATTAAATTAATACCGTTGACCATATTAGTACCAGGTATTTTAGTTCTATTACATTTGTGCCCCCTTAAAATTGCTACCAATCTTTAGGTTTCTTAGCTCTAATACTTTTTAATTTAACAAAACTTGTAAATAATGAACTTTAACATAGTCATAATTGTGATAAATTTTTCTCTATATATGCAATTTTTTGTTTTAATTAGTTTTACTCTCCATAAAACTAATTAATTGACATCTTTTCTTATATAAAAAAAAAAAAATTCAAAGAATTTTTCAATAAAATGTAATAATTATTATCACTTTATATTAACATTTAGTTATCATATACTATTCTAAATTTTAAAGTACGGTTTTTTTTTTTTTTTTATCATATTTAGATATAAGACTCTTATGGAAAATCATAGGTCAACCACTTAATCCAACTACGAAGTCTTATTAAAAGGTCATATACATATGACAACCACGTATGCATATAAATAAGTCTTATTAAAAGGTCATATACACATGACAACCAAGTATGCATATAAACATGAAAAAGACTACGTACAAACTTTCTTATAAAAAGAGTGTATAAACTGACGTGACATCACCTGGCATGTGAGCCCAAATGACATCGATATAATATTAAATATTATGGGTTCCAATTTGTACAACCCATGTGATGATAAAAAATAATATATGCAAACGGAAATGGCATGTGATAAAACTATAATAACTATGGATTGGCTTTTTATGCACCACCCCGAGACAAAAAATTGGACTCCACTACTAACCTTAACATCTTACATCAACAAAGCATAGAAAACAAAACATAACAAAAATGAAAAATAAATAAAAACAAGAAATTTCGTAAAATAGTTTGCTTTCAAATTGGACAATGGAACCGGTGAAGGAAGATGAAGTGTATAGCTAGAGAAAGACATGAAGTTACCGCCTTTAAACCCAAATGTGCCAGTAGCAGAGCTCGAGAAAGAAGGAGAGGCAGAGGCCTTACTAATCGAAGATCAAGGAGCCCAGAGTTGGTAATTCTACTTCTGCAATCACAGGAAGTAGCACTTCTAGTGGCACATCGTCTTCAGCAATTGGCTTAGGCAGTAGCATTATTGGTGCTGTAACTCCACCTATTGCAAGCATAGGAAGTAGTACTTTTGGCTGTACATCTTCTGCAATCCCAAGCACTGGAAGTGGCATCTTTGGATTCAGTGTCAGAGCTCCTTCTTCAACTTCTTCCAACCAGGCTCATGTTTCTAACCCTTTTAGTGTTGGAAGTGCTCAGGCATCTATTAATGCAACTGGTCTTTCAACTTAACTCAGAACATGCCAAATCAATTTGGATCAACTTCGTCATCTACGTCATTTGAGCTGGTAATTCTACCAACTTTGGTAATCCTACCATCATGATTTTTTTGGGGGTGGGAGGGGCGACATCAACTTTTGCAAGCACAGTAAGTAGCACTTCTAGTGGCATATCGTCTGCAGCAATTGGCTCAGGATGTAGCATTTTTGGCAGTATGCCTACGCCATCGGCAAGCACTGGATGCAGCATTTTTGGCAGTACGCAATCGGCAAGCACTGGAAGTAGCATTTTTGGCAGTATGCCTACGCCATCGGCAAGCACTGGATGTAGCATTTTTGGCAGTATGCCATCGGCAAGAACAGGAAGTAGCATTTTTGGTGTTGTAACTCCACCTATTACAAGCACAAGAAGTAGTACTTTTGGCGGCACATCTTCTGCAATCCCAAGCACTGGAAGTGGCATCTTTGGATTCAGTTTCGGAGCTTCTTCTTCAGCTTTTACCCACGAGGTTTCTAACCCTTTTAGTGTTGGAAGTGCTCAGGCATGTGTTAATTCAATTGGTCTTACAACTTCAACTCAGAGCATGCCTAATCAGTTTGGATCAATTTCGTCATCTAAGTCATTTGGGTTGGTTGGGAATCCCGCCTTTTCCTCTGGCAGTTCATTATTTGGCTCCTCAACTTCTGTGGCTAAACCTTTTGGTTCAACTCCTACATTTGGATCATGTCCTTCCTTTACAACTTTCTTCTGGGCAAAAATTTTATAGTTGCACTGCCAGGTATGAGTTGTCACAATTTTGTAAGAGACTTAGTAGCAAAATCTAAGAACATTTATGGTGTATTTTAGTTGATACGGGTTTCAGGTTGTGTAGTTGTACCTCGGATCCTTTTCTGTACTTTGTACTCTGTTATATGTAATTATGTATCATAAAAGAAATGGATATGAATCTTATCCTCTGTCTTCACTTGAGTTTTAACTCTCTTTTCCTTTCCCAATTTTCCTTTCCTTTGTTTCAGATTCTTGTATGGTTTTAATATTTTTTTTTTCCTAGGCAATATATTATATGGTAGGAAGTGATGCTTTTTTTAAAGTTTTTGGTAGAATCTTATTTATAATGTGTTTTGATGAGGTTTTATTATATTAGTAATTTTATCCGATATGAGATCACAACATTTCGGATGCCTCGCTCTTCTGTGCTTTGATGAGTAGCCGTAGGTAGCGCATGTAATTTCTCTATTACTTGTGTCTTTGTGAAGAAGAATTATGGACCCAACGGCAAGAATGCATTTTGATTGGGCCGCCCTGACGGTCCACCTGTGCTGGGTAGCTGACACCATCCATCTTGTTCATGCTGTCTCAAGTATGAAGCCGAACTTGTTTTCTCATTTGTTTGGTCGTGTAGTTTGTTGTTTTTTATGAAAGATTGAATTTTTTTTTTGTGGTTTTTGGTGGCTTATTTCTGTCATTGTGAATAACGAGATTTGTTTATGAGGCCAGTTAGGGGCTCATACAGTGCAGGGGCTTGCTCGGGAGGATGTTGAAGTTTTTCTCTTTTTTAATTTAAATCTTTTGTGATCTTTTATCTTTTGGGAATGGACAACCCAATTATACCAACTTTTTCACACAACCCTGACTTAGTGACTCGCAATTGATTAGCTTGCAAATAAGGTAGAATTCATATTGAGCAAACAGAACTTATTTATGAACTGATCAATTGCGAAGTACCACGTTAAGGTCGTGAGAGAAAATTGCTGAGATTGGGTTAGTGTGATAAATTAGGAAGTATTTAAAGCTGTTGAATATAATTAGTCTGGAACGCATAGTTAGGCAGAATTTGGTGCATCTTAATGATCACTGACGGGTGTTGTATTGCATATGGTGCTTCTGAAAGAAAACGAGCTCTGAGTGGGAACATTCTGCGAAGAAATTGGGAAAGATAAGGTGTTGAAAGGACTCTAGGAAGCTTTCGTTAAATTCTTTGTTCAGGTATCAAATGTGATTTATGTTTTATGCAAATAAAGAGTGAAACATCTGCATGCTGAGTTCATCTCCATATTGTGGCTGTTTAAAACGGTAAAGGCTCTTTGTAAAGTAATGGAATCAAAATTT